GGATGAGCTGGAGATGTCACTGCCTTGGTCGTTTCACTATTGGCTGCTACTTCCCGGCGGATGTCAGGTGGTACAATATCGGCGAATTCATTCATCTTTTTTTTCAAATTATGATTCGGCCCTCCAACAGTTTGTTGGAGTGACCTGGCCCTCTGTTTAAAAAAGTTTGAGGACCCCTGATCTAGACACTAGACTCCTATTTATGACTGCTAAAAAGCTTTTTGTTTTGTTTTGCCACCGCATGACATTGTTGGCTCATGTTCCCCTTCCTGTCCACGAGGACTCAAAAATATTTTTCTGTCGATCCAGACATCATCTCCCATTCTGTATCTTTGCCTTTCGTTTTTTCTGCCTAAGTGGAGTATCTTGCATTTGTCCCTGTTGAACTTCATTGTGTGACTTTTGGCCCATCATCTCTCTAATCTGTTAAAATAGTTTTGAATTCTGCTCCTGCCTTCTGGAGTATTGGCTCTCCCTCCCAATTTGGTGTTGTCCACAAACTTGATGATCTTGCCTTCTAACCTTTCCTCTAAATCAGCGGTTCTCAATCTGGGGGTTGCGACCCAAAAGGGGGTCGTTCAGCCATTTTCAGGGGGTCGCGAATCTGCCTTGGCTCAGAAGGGGGTGAGGGACGGGCGGAGGGAGTTCTCTGTGCCAAGTGTGAGTGCATTCCATGGTTGCATGAGTTCAGAATGCTTTTGGATGGGAGGGAACTATATATCCCAGCACCTCCCAAGTGTCAGGAAAATAACCCCAAAACTCTCCAGTAATTTCTGTTGGTTATGGGAGTTCTGTATGCCAAGCTTCTTCAATTCCATTTTTGTTGGAGTTCAGAATGCTCTCTGATGGCAGAGAAACTATAAATCCCAGCAACTGCAACTCCCAAATATAAAGATCAATTTCCCCCAAACTCCACCATTGTTCAAATCTGGGCATATTGAGTATTCATGCCAAGTTTGGTCCAGATCCATAGTCATTTGGGTTCTCAGTGCTTTCTGGATGTAGGTGAACTACATCTCCCATAAATTACTGTCAATTCCTCCAAAACTCCTCCAGTAATTTCTGCTGGTCATGGGAGTTCTGTGTTTCAAGTTTGGTCCAGGTCTGTAATTTGTGGGGGATCTCAGTGGTCCGTGGAAATCAGAGCTGAATTGGTTGAAGGTACTGCAAATCCCATTCATCCGTTGTCCATACTCCCCCAAACATATTGTGATTAGTCACTATGCTTTAATTATGTTCAATTTGTAACAATGAAAATGCATCCTGCATATTAGATATCTGCATTAAAATTCATAAGAGTAGCAAAATTCCTGACTGTGAGAGCCGTTCAGCAGTGGAACTCACTGCCCCGGAGTGTGGTGGAGGCTCCTTCTTTAGAAGCTTTTAAACAGAGGCTGGACGGCCATCTGTCAGGGGTGATTTGAATGCAATATTCCTGCTTCTTGGCAGGGGGTTGGACTGGATGGCCCATGAGGTCTCTTCCAACTCTTTGATTCTATGATTTATGAAGTAGCAACGAAAATATGGTTGGGGGTCACCACAACACGAGGGACTTTATTTGGGGATCACCGCATTAGAAAGGTTGAGAACCACTGCTCTAAATCATGAATAAAGATCCTGAACATGACCATTCCCAGGACAGAACCAGGCTGATGGCACTCCACTTGTCACTTCTTTCCAGGATTAAGAGGAAGCATTGGGGAGAATCACCCATTGGCTTTATTCGCTTAACCAATTTGAGATCCAGCTAACCATACTTTTGCCTTGCCCAAATTGGACTAGTTTCCTTGCCAGAAGGTCATTGGGAATCTTTTTGAAGGCCTTACTCAAATCCAGATGTGCTCCATCCACGGCATTTCCTGCATCTACCCAGTTTGTAACTCTATCGAAAAAAGAGATCAGATTACTCTGCCATGCCTTGTTTTTGATATATAAGCTCAAGTTACTTCCAACACCCCAGGGGCGGCTCGTCCATTACGTGAAGTAAGCGGTCGCAGAACACTTTTTTTTTTGCCAGGGGCGCAGAGGCACCTCTGTAAATGCCCCTCGACCACCACTTGAGGAGTGCCCCCTCCGCTCACAACAGCCCTAGCAGTCCGGGGGGAGCCTCGGCTTTCTTGCCTCGCTGCCGGGCGATCCTCTTCCCAAAGGGGCCGGGCCCTTGAGCCTCGCCTAGCCCCTCTCGTTTCTGCTCCACTCGGCCACCGGGTGCGCGAGCAGAGCCGGCACTCAATCGTTCTCCGCGTTCGATCCCTTCCCCATGACCGGCTTCCTTTCCCGATCCCCGGCGCTCCACCCGCTTCCTCTCCTCTCCCCAATCCGCGGGTGGGCCAAGGGGCGGAGCCGCCACTGGAGGCATGTCTGAAGACCCCAGCGTGCGCACCAAAAGTCGCCTCTTCTCCTGACTTTCTCTTCAGCCATTGGGACCAAGAGAGAGAGAGAGAGAGAGAGAGCCCCTCCGGCTGGAGGTATCTCCCACCTCCGCTCCCTCCTTTGTTTTTGCGCCTACCTTCAGGAAAGGTGGGCATCTCCACCTCTGTCTCTCTCTCTCTCTCTCTCTTGGTCCCAATGGCTGAGGAGAAAGTCAGGAGAAGAGGTGACTTTTGGTGCACACGCCGGGGTCTTCAGGCACGCCTCCGGACCCAAAGCGGGCCAGGCAAGGGAGCAAATGTGGCAAGTGTAGTTACTGGGATGTATAGTTCACCTACAATCAAAGAGCATTCTGAACTCCCACGTCGAACAGAAAATATATATCAATGATTGGTTGGGGGGGGGGGGCACCAAAATACTGTTTGCTTACCGTTGAAAATTACCTAGGGTCGCCTCTGCAACACCCCAAAACTGGGTCAAAGAAACTCTACACAACTATACTTAACAAACACACATACACTCCACCTGATAAAGACTGAACAAAAAGTTTATTTTTGACCATACAAATAAAACAAATATTGTTTAAAAAGTCAAGTTGTTCCCTTTTATTCCAGTGAAAATACTTGCTAAGAAAAGTAATTATTTTAAAAGGTATTCTAAAAAAATGAAAAAAAAAATCCAAATAGGGTAACCAAGGAAGAAGAAAAAAAAATACGCTAATACACAGAAGTAGACACTGTAAATTAACTTAAAACATCCATTATTAAGCATGCCCGATTTGGAGACCAGGAGAGGGAAAATAAATATTTGAAGTAGACAGGTTCCGCCATCGTTCCTTGACACTCACATTTTTCGTTTCTTTGAGGGAAAAGATCCATTCACATGAACACGAAATGGAAGTGCAAAGGTTGCTAAAGCAATATGCCATATTAAACGAAATGTATTATGGGCAACATACACCAAGAAAGATATTGGTTTAGCCGCTGTCCAAAAGTGTCCAATCTGAAATTTCAGAGACCATACCTAGCATTTCAAAATACCAAAAAAAAAAAAAAACAAAAAAAAAACATACACACATTTAAAAAAATACATTTTACCAGAAAAATCCAATGATACATTAGAAATAAAAAATGACTTGGCAATACATGTTATACACAGAATCCATTTGTTCCTATACTTTGGGCTTTGAAGCAGGATATAACCGATGGGACAGTCCGGTGACGCTAGATGAAAATAGTCCAGAATGTGCTCTCTCACAGTTGCACTCCAAGGATTTCTACAGCACTGACAAAAGCAACCTGTGGGTTTTTTACTTCCCAAGGGACAAACTTTCGCACATCACTGTCAACTAGTCATGGGCCCAAAATGTGACAATTAGTTTGATTCATGTTTCCATTTTGTTTCATACATTCGGATGGCAGGAAACGGAAAGGAACAAAAATGCAATTGAAACGAAAGACAGGTGGGAGCGGGTACCGGCTCCAAGCCTGCTTTTCGGATTAATTGCCTGGGGCCTGGCAGGGCATGCAGCTGAGCACCGAGTAAGGAGTGCTCCTTACTTAGCACTTAGCTGTAAGTCCTGCTAGGCTCGGGAGCGTAGTCCCAAAGCCTGCACCCGTAGGTCCAAAGTGCCCGGGCTTACAAGTACAGGCTTCTTGGCCTACACGCCTGAGCCTGGCAGGGCCTGCAATCGAGCAAGGAGCGCTCCTTACTTGACACTCAACTGTAGGTCATGCTAGGCTCAGGAGCGTAGTCCCAAAGACTGCATCTGTAGGTCCAAAGTGCCCAGGCTTACAAGTACAGGCTTCTCGGTCTAAACGCCTGGGCCTGGCAGGGCCTGCAGCTGAGTAAGAAGTGTTCCTTACTTGGCACTCGGCTGTAGGTCATGCTGGGCTCGGGAGCGTAGTCCCAAAGCCTGCACCCGTAGGTCCAAAGTGCCCGGGCTTACAAGTACAGGCTTCTCAGCCTACATGTCTGGGCCTGGCAGGGCCTGCAGCCAAGTAAGGACTGCTCCTTACTTGGCACTCAGCTGTAGGTCCTGCTGGGCTCGGGAGTATAGTCCCAAAGACTGCATCCATAGGTCCAAAGTGCCCAGGCTTACAAGTACAGGCTTCTCGGTCTACACGCCTGGGCCTGCCGGGGCTTGCAGCCGAGCAAGGAGCGCTCCTTACTTGGCATTCAACTATAGGTCCTGCTAGGCTCAGGAGCGTAGTCCCAAAGCCTGCACCCATAAGCACAAAGTGCTTGGGCATACAAGTGCAGGCTTCTCGGTCTACTCGCCTGGACCTGGCAGGGCCTGCAGCCGAGCAAGGAGCGCTCCTTACTTGACACTCAACTGTAGGTCCTGCTAGGCTCAGGAGCGTAGTCCCAAAGACTGCATCTGTAGGTCCAAAGTGCCGGGCTTACAAGTATAGGCTTCTCAGCCTACATGCCTGAGCCTGGCAGGGCCTGCAGCCGAGCAAGAGCGCTTCTTACTTGGCACTCAACTGTAGGTCCTGCTAGGCTCAGGAGCGTAGTCCCAAAGACTGCATCTGTAGGTCCAAAGTGCCCGGGCTTACAAGTATAGGCTTCTCAGCCTACATGCCTGAGCCTGGCAGGGCCTGCAGCCGAGCAAGAGCGCTTCTTACTTGGCACTCAACTGTAGGTCCTGCTAGGCTCAGGAGCGTAGTCCCAAAGACTGCATCTGTAGGTCCAAAGTGCCCGGGCTTACAAGTATAGGCTTCTCAGCCTACATGCCTGAGCCTGGCAGGGCCTGCAGCCGAGCAAGAGCGCTTCTTACTTGGCACTCAACTGTAGGTCCTGCTAGGCTCAGGAGCGTAGTCCCAAAGACTGCATCTGTAGGTCCAAAGTGCCCGGGCTTACAAGTATAGGCTTCTCAGCCTACATGCCTGAGCCTGGCAGGGCCTGCAGCCGAGCAAGAGCGCTTCTTACTTGGCACTCAACTGTAGGTCCTGCTAGGCTCAGGAGCGTAGTCCCAAAGACTGCATCTGTAGGTCCAAAGTGCCCGGGCTTACAAGTACAGGCTTCTCGGTCTACACATCTGGGCCTGGCAGGGCCTGCAGCTGAGTAAAGAGTGCTCCTTACTTGACACTCAATTGTAGGTCCTGCTAGGCTCAGGAGCGTAGTCCCAAAGCCTACACCCGTAGGCCCAAAGTGCCCGGGCTTACAAGTACAGGCTTCTCAGCCTACATGCCTGGGCCTGGCAGGGCCTGCAACCGAGTAAGAAGTGCTCCTTACTTGGCACTCGGCTGCAGGTCATGCTGGGCTCGGAAGCGTAGTCCCAAAGCCTGCACCCGTAGATCCAAAGTGCCCAGGCTTACAAGTGTAGGCTTCTCAGCCTACATGCCTGGGCCTGGCAGGGCCTGCAGCCGAGTAAGGACTGCTCCTTACTTGGCACTCAAATGTAGGTCGTGCTGGGCTTGGGAGCATAGTCCCAAAGACTGCATCCGTAGGTCCAAAGTGCCCAGGCTTACAAGTACAGGCTTCTCGGTCTACACGCCTGGGCCTGGCAGGGCCTGCAGCCGAGTAAGGACTGCTCCTTACTTGGCACTCAAATGTAGGTCGTGCTGGGCTTGGGAGCATAGTCCCAAAGACTGCATCCGTAGGTCCAAAGTGCCCAGGCTTACAAGTACAGGCTTCTCGGTCTACACGCCTGGGCCTGGCAGGGCCTGCAGCTGAGTAAGGAGTGCTCCTTACTTGGCACTCGGCTGTAGGTGCTGCTGGGCTCGGGAGTGTAGTCCCAAAGCCTGCACCCATGGGTCCAAAGTGCCCGGGCTTACAAGTGCAGGCTTCTCAGCCTACACGCCTGGGCCTGGCAGGGCCTGCAGCCAAGTAAGGACTGCTCCTTACTTGGCACTCAGCTGTAGGTCCTGCTGGGCTCGGGAGCATAGTCCCAAAGACTGCATCCGTAGGTCCAAAGTGCCCAGGCTTACAAGTACAGGCTTCTCGGTCTACACACCTGGGTCTGGCAGGGCCTGCAGCAGAGTAAGGAGTGCTCCTTACTTGGCACTCGGTTGTAGGTCTTGTTGGGCTCGGGAGCGTAGTCCCAAAGTCTGCACCCATGGGTCCAAAATGCCCGGGCTTACAAGTGCAGGCTTCTCGGCCTACACGCCTGGTCCTGGCAGGGCCTGCAGCCGAGCAAGGAGTACTCCTTACTTGGCACTCAACTGTAGGTCCTGCTAGGCCTCAGCCAATTGATCCAAATTGCAGGCTTGGAGCTGGTACCCACTCCTGCCTGTCTTTCGTTTTGATAGCATTTTCGTTCCAGGAAGGGCCTTTCTGTTTCGTGCCAGACCTGGGTGCGTAGGTCCAAAGCATGCACCCGTAGGCCCAAAACCTGCACCCGTAGGCCCCTTGCACTTTGGGTGTATAGGTGAAGTCCGCCCCCCACCCCAAACGGGTGAAAGAAAACAGATCTTTCAGCCCCGAAAACAAAAAACAAAAGCTGATGTCCCAATTTTGGAATGCTCAGATGAAAACAGATTGGGGTCCCCTCCGAAAGCCGGGACAGGAAACGGCACTCACCTGAAGGCCCTGCCAGGCCCCAGGCAATCGATCCGAATGGCAGGCTTGGAGCCAGTACCCACTCCCATCTGTCTTTCGTTTTGGTAGCATTTTTGTTCCAGGAGGGGCCTTTCTGTTTCGTGCCAGACCTGGGTGCATAAGTCCAAAGCCTGCACCCATAGGCCCAGGCACATTGGATGTATAGGTGAAGTCGTCGTCGTCGTCGTCCCCCCCCCCCAATGGATGAAAGAAAACAGACCTTTCAGCCCTGAAAACAAAAAACAAAATCTGATGTCCCAATTTTGGAAGGCTCAGAAGAAAACGGATCGTGGTCCCCTCCGAAAGCTGGGACACGAAATGGAGCAAGGTAAGTCCCAAATGCACATGACTACTGTCAGCTGGCCCTATTCTCCAAAATGTAGTCATCCGTATTCCAGCTTTCTCTGCAGATGTACTTCCTTAGAAAATCCTCACAACCTCAAATCCTAAAGGGAAAATGTATTTGTAACTAGAATCTGCCCACATATGAATTCAAATCTGTCCCATGTGGTTCCGATCCAATTCTTAGAAGCAAAAGTCACTCTGTCGAGATGTGCGCCATGATTTTTGGAAAAAAATGACTCAAGGCATTTAAAGGTAGAAATGTCATGAACACTTGAGCTGACATTTTGGTTTGGTTATGTTACTCCCACTGAAATGACAAGAAAGATAAGCCGGCCTGGGAGGTTCAGATGAGAGATAGTTCTGTACGTGGAAACAACAGAGAAAGAGCTTATCTGACCACAGAAGTAATAAATACAGGTTCCAGACCTGGTTGATGGGTCCCAAATGGAGGTCAGTACAATCTCACACTGTCACACACCTTGAAGAAATAGGAAGACAATGCAGAAGCTCAGTGAAGGGCAGAAGCTCAGGAAATGAAAAAAAAAAAAACCGGAATCAATTAGTGGCAATGTATTGTCGAAGGCTTTCATGGCCAGAATCACTGGGTTGTTGTAGGTTTTTTCGGGCTATATGGCCATGTTCTAGAGCCATTCTCTCCTGATGTTTTGCCTGCATCTATGGCAAGCATCGTCAGAGGTAATGAGGTCTGTTGAAACTAGGAAAATGGGTTTATATATCTGTGGAATGACCAGGGTGGGGCAAAGGACTCTTGTCTGTTGGAGCTAGGTGGATCTGGACCAAACTTGGCACAAATGCTCAATATGCGCAAATGTGAACACTGGTGGAGTCTGGGGAAAATAGACTTTGACATTTGGGAGTTGTCGTTGCTGGGATTTATAGTTCACTACAATCAAAGAACATTCTGAACTCCACCAACGAGCAGATCCTTCCCTCCACCGGAAGGATCTGCTCCTGTCTAAACCATGGAGCTTTGGTGCAGTTGTAAAGCGAAGGCGTTAGAAAATATGTTGTCAAAGGATCTCATGGCCAGAATCGTTGGGTTGCTGTGAGTTTTCCGGGCTGTATGGCCTTTGACAGTAGTGTAGACCAGTGTTTCTCAACCTGTTTAGACCAGTGTTTCTCAACCTGGGGCTCAGGACCCCTGAGAGGGTCGTGAAGGGGTGTCAAAGGGGTCGCCAAAGACCATCAGAAAACACAGTATTTTCTGATGGTCATGGGGATTCCATGTGGGAAGTTTGAACCAATTCTATCGTTGGTGGAGTTCAGAATGTTCTTTGATTGTAGTGAACTATAAATCCCAGCAACGACAACTCCCAAATGTCAAAGTCTATTTTCCCCAGACTCCACCAGTGTTCACATTTGCGCATATTGAGTATTTGTGCAAAGCTTGGTCCAGATCCACCTAGCTCCAACAGACAAGAGTTCTTTGTCCCACCCTGGTCATTCCACAGATATATAAACCCATTTTCCTAGTTCCAACAGACCTCACTACCTCTGAGGATGCTTGCCATAGATGCAGGCGAAACGTCAGGAGAAAATGCCTCTAGAACATGGCCATATAGCCCGGAAAAACCGACAACAACCCAGTGATTCCGGCCATGAAAGCCTTCGACAATACATTGCCACTAACACTGTTCAACAGAGAAAAAGTTTTGGGCTTGAAAATAGTTTTTCTTTTATGATTTTGGGGTGCTGAAAACGAAAATGACATTAAAAAATGTATATTGGCTCTAGTTTTTATGATATAAGCAATCACGTGATCACGTATGGTTGAAAAAATGCATGTTGCGACTTACACTATGGAAGATTCTAGAATACTCTAGAAAGTTTGATGATGCAGTATTAGTGCCATGTGCAAAAGCCAGAAAGCCCTATATAAGGCCAGACTTTTGAACGGTGAGGGTCAGTCAGTTGAAGACTGAGACAGTATCGTTAAACATCGTTTTACATTGTTCTTTTGACTGTAGTGATGCCTCGCACGTGTGTAAATAAAGCACTATGGAAAAAAGATATCAAGGCCAATGGACTCCGTCAATGCTGTCAGACTACTGCTGGAGCATTGTAAGAGGGAATCCTTTCCTTGAATACAAAAGAAAAGTCAAGAGAAGCAAACAGGATAGAAACTAAAGTCACGATTAAAGCGACATTGAAACTTTCAGACTTTTCAACTGCATTAGGCCTAATATAGTTTCTTGCTGCACAAACATAAACAATAGACTAATTAAATAAATATTTCTCATGTATAAACTATTGGCAATATAATTTGACTAAAATTTAGTAAATATTCACGGTTTATATACATGCAGTAAGGTTAGGCGCATTATCATAATATTAACGAATTACCTATTGTGGAGAAAATTGAAATAGCTGTTGCATAAAAACCAGAGCCAATTAACACATTTAATTATTATATTTGAATTCAGCATGTTAAATTTATTAAGAAACGGCACATTTCGTTTCCGCAAGTGAGAAAAACTGAAAATTTGTAGAACAGTGTAATTGATTTAGATGGCAAGAACCCAAAAGGAAACAAAATTAGGGATTACTAAATTCTACCCCAATTCAACAGATAATAAATCCGAATCAGCACCCACCTGGATATGACAATGAGTAGGGTTCTTATGGATGATGAACACTTTACTAAAATTGTGGGCCTAGAAAAGTATATAAAGTACACTTACAAAGAGCTGGTTGTCATGCAAGCACAGGTAAAATCCAAACAGGACAAGGTCTTCTTAACTTTCCAAATAGGGATCCAAACACAGTTTGCCAAACAGGGAATTCCTGCAGTCTCAAAAATTTCACCGATCCATCAAAACCAAAAAAGAGAGTACACTTTCAATGTCGATGAAGAAACGTGAAATATCCAAAATGGCCACTTCAAATAACATTGACCAAAAAAAGCTAATTCTTCTTCGACCATTAAGTTCCTTTTTGTCATTTGCTTGAAGCAAGAACCTATCTCCTTATTGCAGGGGAGGAAAACAGCCGACTGGATTCATACCTTCAGGTTAAGGCCATGGGTAAACCAGGTTCAAGTTAGGCTTGAGTTCAGTTTCCAGAACCTCCCATATGGAGGAAGATCTCTCTCATCCCAAGATTTAGGATGGCTCGGGAGCACAGCAAAGAAATGGGAAGACTGTGGGGGTGGCAATCAAAAGGCAGGGCTCATCTGGGAAAAAAAGAGTTAGGTTCTTTTGCAGAGTGAAGGGCAAACTCAATGGCAGCAGCCACCACAGTGACTACTCAGGTGAGTGTGCTGGCTCTCGCCAAATTTCGTTCTTCTGCTGAGGATTTCGTAGGAGCAGTCATCCCCGCAGCAGCCAGACATGCTAGGTGAGGTATCGTCAATGTCAAACCTAACAAAGTCAAGGAAGAAATACAGATTTAGGCCAGGTGAAGACCATTGATTTGAATTACAACAATCGAAAGACCGGGATTGTGGCGCAGCTGGCTGAGTGTCAGCTGAATTAAGATCACTCTGACCAAAAAGGTCACGAGTTCGAAGCCAGCCTGGGTTGGAGTGGGTTTCCAACCAATTATGTGTAGCCTGTTGTCAACCTTTGCAACCCGAAAGACAGTTGCATCTGTCAAATAGGAAAATAAGGTACCACCTTAATAGGTGTGGGGAGGCTAAATTAACTGATTTATGAGGCCATAAAGAAGACTCCAGCAAAGCACTCCAGCGGGGAAGCATGCGTCAAAACGATCTTGACAGATTAGAGAGATGGGCCCAAACTAACAAAATGAAGTTCAACAGTGACAAATGCAAGATACTCCACTTTGGCAGAAAAAATGAAATGCAAAGATACAGAATGGGGGACGCCTGGCTCGAGAGCAGTACGTGTGAAAAAGATCTTGGAGTCCTCGTGGATAACAAGTTAAACATGAGCCAACAATGTGATGTGGCGGCAAAAAAAGCCAATGGGATTTTGGCCTGCATCAATAGGAGCATAGTGTCTAGATCTAAGGAAGTCATGCTACCCCTCTATTCTGCTTTGGTTAGACCACACCTGGAATATTGTGTCCAATTCTGGGCACCACAATTCAAGAGAGATATTGACAAGCTGGAATGTGTCCAGAGGAGGGCGACTAAAATGATCAAGGGTCTGGAGAACAAGCCCTATGAGGAGCGGCTTAAGGAGCTGGGCATGTTTACCCTGAAGAAGAGAAGGCTGAGAGGGGATATGATAGCCATGTATAAATATGTGAGAGGAAGCCACAGGGAGGAGGGAGCAAGCTTGTTTTCTGCTTCCCTGGAGACTAGGACGCGGAACAATGGCTTCAAACTACAAGAGAGGAGATTCCATCTGAACATGAGGAAGAACTTCCTGACTGTGAGAGCCGTTCAGCAGTGGAACTCTCTGCCCCCGGAGTGTGGTGGAGGCTCCTTCTTTGGAAGCTTTTAAACAGAGGCTGGATGGCCATCTGTCAGGGGTGATTTGAATGCAATATTCCTGCTTCTTGGCAGGGGGTTGGACTGGATGGCCCATGAGGTCTCTTCCAACTCTTTGATTCTATGATTCTATGAATCATCTGACCAAAAAGGTCATGAGTTCGAAGCCAGCCCGGGTTGGAGTGGGTTTCCAACCAATTGTGTGTAGCCTGTTGTCGACCTTTGCAACCCAAAAGACAGTTGCATCTGTCAAATAGGAAAATAAGGTACCACCTTAAAGTGTGGGGAGGCTAAATTAACTGATTTATGAGGCCATAAAGAAGACTCCAGCAAAGCATTCCAGCGGGGAAGCATGCGGGGAATGCGGAAGTGCTTCATCAGCGTCGCAGATGGACGATGAAAGCGACAGCTCCCCTGGCGGCCAGAAAAAGTTAAATAGCCTCTGTCTATGTCTGTATATACAGAAGATCTGTATAGGAAGGATAATAATATTGAGGATAGTTATGACGGTGTGGTGAATGAATTAGAACCAGACATCCTGAGGAGTGAAGTTGAATGGGCCTTAAGAAGCATTGCTAACAACAAGGCAGCAGGAGATGACGGGATCCCAGCTGAACTGTTTAAAATCTTAAAAGATGATGCTGTCAAGGTGATGCATGCCATATGCCAGCAAATATGGAAAACACAAGAATGGCCATCAGACTGGAAAAAATCAACTTATATCCCCATACCAAAAAAGGGAAATGCGAAAGACTGCTCAAACTTCCGTACAGTGGCCCTTATTTCACATGCCAGTAAGGTAATGCTCAAGATCCTGCAAGGAAGACTCCAGCAATACATGGAGCGAGAGTTGCCAGATGTTCAAGCTGGGTTTAGAAAAGGCAGAGGAACGAGATACCAAATTGCCAATATCCGCTGGATAATGGAGAAAGGCAGGGAGTTTCAGAAAAACATCTACTTCTGCTTCATTGACTATTCTAAAGCCTTTGACTGTGTGGATCATAATAAATTGTGGCAAGTTCTTAGTGGGATGGGCATCCCAAGCCACCTTGTCTCTCTCCTGAGGAATCTGTACAAGGACCAAGAGCAACAGTCAGAACTGACCACGGAACAACAGACTGGTTCAAGATTGGGAAAGGCGTACGGCAAGGCTGCATACTCTCACCCAACCTTTTTAACTTGTATGCAGAACACATCATGCGATGTGCGGGGCTTGATGAATGCAAGGCTGGGGTGAAAATTGCTGGAAGAAACATTAACAACCTCAGATATGCAGATGACACCACTCTGATGGCCGAAAGCGAGGAGGAGCTGAGGAGCCTTCTAATCAAGGTGAAAGAAGAAAGCGCAAAAGCCGGGTTGCAGCTAAACGTCAAAAAAACCAAGATTATGGCAACAAGAATGATTGACAACTGGAAAATAGAAGGAGAAACCGTGGAGGCCGTGACAGACTTTGTATTTCTAGGTGCAAAGATTACTGCAGATGCAGACTGTGGCCAGGAAATCAGAAGACGCTTACTTCTTGGGAGGAGAGCAATGTCCAGTCTCGATAAAATAGTGAAGAGTAGAGACATCAGACTTGCAACAAAGATCCGCCTAGTCAAAGCCATGGTATTCCCTGTAGTCACCTACGGATGTGAGAGCTGGACCTTAGGGAAGGCTGAGCGAAGGAAGATCGATGCTTTGGAGCTGTGGTGTTGGAGGAAAGTGCTGAGAGTGCCTTGGACTGCGAGAAGATCCAACCAGTCCATCCTCCAGGAAATAAAGCCCGACTGCTCACTGGAGGGAAAGATACTAGAGACAAAGTGAAGTACTTTGGCCACATCATGAGGAGACAGGAAAGCCTAGAGAAGACAATTATGCTGGGGAAAGTGGAAGGCAAAAGGAAGAGGGGCCGACCCAGGGCAAGATGGATGGATGGCATCCTTGAAGTGACTGGACTGACCTTGAGGGAGCTGGGGGTGGTAACGGCCGACAGGGAGCTCTGGCGTAGGCTGGTCCATGAGGTCACGAAGAGTCGGAGACGACTGAACGAATGAACAACAACAACATGTCTGTTATATGTTGTATGTCAAAATTGGCACTGAATGTTTGCCATATATGTGTACACTGTAATCCGCTCTGAGTCCCCTGCGGGGTGAGAAGGGCGGAATATAAAAGCTGTAAATAAATAAAATAAATAATAAGACAACCACAAAAGGAGTTATAAGCTTTACACATAACTTCAAACAAACAAGCAAGGAATTTGTTCCGGCTCACCAAAAGAGCATTCCTACCACCCCAGACATCTTCAGACCCTCCCAATTGTTACTTTGCGTGTCTTAGTTTGTGGAGACGAAAAGAATTAAGTCAAATTCTTACTGTAAAGCTTCTCTGAAGAACTGGTAGGCCCCATGGTTGTGTTTAAATACTGTTAACATGACTTTCTTCATCTGTGTGCTGAGAAAATCAGGGAGAGGATAAGGTCAAAAGAGATAGAGGCAAAACTGAACACAGCTCCTTGCTAGAAGACCAATTTTTTTTTGTCGTATCAGGAGTGACTTGAGAAACTGCAAGTCGCTTCTGGTGTGAGAGAATTGGCTGTCTGCAAGGACGTTGCCCAGGGGACGCCTGGATGATTTGATGTTTTTATCATCCTTGTGAGAGGTTTCTCTCATGTCCCCGCATGAGGAGCTGGAGCTGATAAAGGGAGCTCATCCGCCTCTCCCCGGATTCGAACCTACGACCTGTCGGTCTTCTACTGACACCGGGGGCTCTAGAACAGAGTTTCTCAACCTGGGAGTCGGGACCCCTGAGGGGGTTGCGAAGGGGTGTCAGAGGGGTCACCAAAGACCATCAGAAAACACAGTATTTTCTGATGGTCATGGGGATTCCATATGGGAAGTTTGAGCCAATTCTATCGTTGGTGGAGTTCAGAATGTTCTTTGATTGTAATGAACTATAAATCCCAGAAACTACAACTCCCCAAAGGTCTATTTTCCCCAGGCTCCACCAGTGTTCACATTTGCGCATATTGAGTATTTGTGCCAAGTTTGGTCCAGATCCACCATTGCGTGAGTCCACAGTGCTCACTGGATATAGGTGAACTACAACTCCCAAACTCAAGGTCAATACCCACCAAACCCTTCCAATGTTTTCCATTGGTCATGGGAGTTCTGTATGGCAAATTAGGTTCAAATCCATTGTTGGTGGAGTTCAGAACGCTCTTTGATTGTAGGTGAACTATAAATCCCAGCAACTACAACTCCCAAATTACAAAATCAATCCTCCCCCAACCCCACTAGCATTTACATGTGGGCGCATTGGGTATTTGTGCCCAGTTTGTTCCAGTGAATGAAAATACATCTTGCATATCAGATATTTACATTATGACTTATAACAGTAGTAAAATGACTGTTATGAAGTAGCAACAAAAACAATGTTATGGTTGGGGGTCACCACAACATGAGGGACTGCATTAAGGAGTCACGGCATTAGGAAGGCTGAGAAACACTGCTCTAGAAGACCAATGATTTAGATGAATTCCCAATTATCAGTTAGGAGCGGGTTGCCATCTCTCTCACACCGGGCAAGCTACAAATTGCAACTTCTGACCAAAAAAAAAAAAAAGGGTTGTACAATATGGAGAGTATGAATCTCTATAGGGAGGGCATTCCAAAGCCGAGGGGCCACCACAGACAGGGCCTTCTCTGTGGTGGCCCCTCGGCTTTGGAATGCCCTCCCTATAGAGATAAGATCAGCCTCCTCGCTGATGGTATTTCGAAAAAAACTGAAAACATGGATGTTTGAACAAGCATTCGGTTAATCCGGTGCGATGAAGTTGATGATCAAGGACTGGTAATTATAGATGACGAAATTGGATTATGATTTTAACTAAGAGATGCATCGGTCTGTATCGGTGGCCCGATACTGTGTACTGTATATTTATTTTATGTTTTTAAATTGAATATTGTTGTTTTAAGTGTTGTAAACCGCAATGAGTCGCCGTTTTAGGCTGAGATATTAGCGGTATACAAGCGTATTAATAAATAATAAATAAATATGAACAACTTACCCATTTGCCACAAGCTGAAGTATCTGTATAAGAAATTTGCCCAAGCCTTTCCTTCTCACTTTGTTTTCCAGCTGCACTTCGTAACTGGGGGAGAGCAAGAGAGAGGTCGGCAGAGAAAGGAGTGTCAACCCCAAAATGCATATTGTTTCAAACTTGAAATCTCTAGAGCAGTGGTTCTCAACCTGCTGGTCCCCAGGCATTTTGGCCTACAACTCCCAGAAATCCCACCCAATAATAATAATAATAATAATAATAATAATAATAATAATAATAATAATAATAATTATTATTATTATTATTATTATTATTATTATTATTTATTTGACTTGTATACCGCCACTCCCAATTTGGCTCGGAGCGGTTTACAGCAGTAGATTAAAACAATACAATTAACTTTAAAATACAATAAAAACAAGAACAGACATAGTCCCGAGTTATTCACCCATCGAAAGCTTGTCAGAAGAGAAAGGTTTACTGGATTACTGTAATGCACTCTACGTGGGGCTGCCCTTGAAAACGGCCCGGAAATTTCAATTGGTACAACAGACAGCAGCCAGGTTACTAACTGGTGCTTCTTACAGGTAGCGGTCAACCCTCCTGTTTAGGGAGCTCCACTGGCTGCCGTTCATTTTCCGGTCCCAATTCAAGGTGCAGGTTCTTACCTACAAAGCCCTGAATGGTTTGGGACCCGCCTACCTGCGTGACCACATTTCTGTGTACGAACCCACACGATCTCTTTGATCATCTGGAGAGGCCCTGCTCATGCTCCCACCTCCTTCGCAGGTGCGATTGGTGGGGACGAGGGCCTTCTCGGTGGTGGCCCCTCGACTCTGGAATTCACTCCCTAAGGACATCAGACATGCCCCAACGCTGGCGGTCTTTAGGAGGAGCCTGAAAACGTGGTTGTTCCAGTGTGCCTTCCCAGAATAAGGAGAACTCTTAGCAATATGTCCTCAAATGCACTTTAATATTGATTTAGGATTGCCTGCGCGCCCACTTCTTTCTTTGATAACCCTATCCTAGTTTACCTTACCTTGTTCATGCCCCAGCATTTTAATTTTATTTGGGTTGTTGTAGGTTTTTACGGGCTATATGGCCATGGTCTAGAGGCATTCTCTCCTGACGTTTCGCCTGCATCTATGGCAAGCATCCTCAGAGATAGTGAGGTCTGTTGGAACTAGGAAAAAGGGTTTATATATCTGTGGAATGACCAGGGTGGGACAAAGGACTCTTGTCTGCTGGAGATAGGTGTGAATGTTTCAGCTGACCACCTTGATTAGCATATAATGGCCTGACAGTGCCTGGAGCAAACTTTTATTGAGAGGTGATTAGATGTTCTTGTTTGTTTCCTCTCTGTTGTGCTGTTGTAATTTTAAAGTTTTTTAATACTGGTAGCCAGATTTTGTTCATTTTCATGGTTTCCTCCTTTCTGTTGAAATTGTCCACATGCTTCAAGAGAACCACTGACCGCATAGGGAAGCTGATGAGGAAACACAACATACAATCTATCTACAGACCCATCAAGAAAATCCCAACAAATGCTACGTTCAGCAATGGACAAGAGGGATCCTCTCACTTCTGCAGGAGTCTACCATGTACCATGCAGCTGTGGACAAGTCTACAGAGGGACCACCAAACGCAGCATTGCCCAGACACGCATCAAGGAACATGAAAGGCACAGCAGACTACTTCAACCAGAGAAGTCAGCCATAGCAGAGCACCTGATGAACCAACCTGGACACAGCATATTATTTGAGAACACAGAAATGCTGGACCACTCTAAACTCTAAAACTCTAAAATTACAACAGCAAAACAACAGAGAGGAAACAACAAAGGACATCTAATCACCTCTCAACAAAAGTTTGCTCCAGGCACTGTCAGGCCATTATATGCTAATCAAGGTGGTCAGTTGAAACATTCACACCTAGCTCTAGCAGACAAAAGTCCTTTGTCCCACCCTGGTCATTCCACAGATATAAACCCTTTTTCCTAGTTCCAACAGACCTCACTACCTCTGAGGATGCTTGCCATAGATGCAGGCGAAACGTCAGGAGAGAATGTCTCTAGACCAGGGGTAGGGAACCTTTGGCCCTCCAGCTGTGGTGGACTTCAACTCCCACAATTCCTTGAGGCTCGGCATTCGCCCCAAAGGCTTACCTTGGCCCAATGCCGAGCCTCAAGGAATTGTGGGAGTTGAAGTCCACCACAGCTGGAGGGCCAAAGGTTCCCTACCCCTGCTCTAGACCATGGCCATATAGCCCGAAAAAACCTACAACAACCCAGTGATTCCGGCCATGAAAGCCTTCGACAATACATTAAATTTTAATTATTACATTTGGCCCGGCCATAGGTTTTTTTTAATGCTGTATGCTATTGTTATTATTTATTGCTTATTGTGTATTTTTTGTTTATTGAGTTTTATTTTAACTGTTTGTATTGATTGTTATTGCCTTTGTTTATTGATGTGCTGTGGGCTTGGCCTCATGTATGCTGCACCGAGTCCCTTGAGGAGATGGTAGCAGGGTACAAATAATAATAATAATAATAATTATAATTATTATTATTATTGATCAGCTGTTAGGATTTCTGGGAGTTGAAGGCCAAAACATCTGGGGACCCCCAGATTGAGAACCACTGCTCGAGAGCTTAGTGTTTTGGTTAGCACTGCAACATTCCAGTCTTGCATGTTTCTTCAATTCCTTAATTTCTGCAGCCTCAACCAATCTCTATCCAGGATCTTACATAATCAGCTTTCAAACCCTTATTATCAGGGCTAAGAAACAGACAGCGCTCTAGATGCTGATAAGTCTTTCCCATCGTTTCTCACCCAACAGAGGCTGATGTTCAGCCTCTGTTGTATAGAGAGCCTACACTATACAATGTTCCCTTCCTTATTGCAGAACTGGGATATGGATGACTTTTCAAATGTTTTTGAAATGTAACCCTCATCTTAAGGCTGAGGATCATATACTCCTCAACAAATGACTATGCACACAAACATTTTTGGCAGGTCCAAGCTGTGTCTGCATTATTCAGTGATCTATCAGGCATTTCCTATTTCAAAATTTAATTCTGTTACTGCTCACATGGGCACATCTTCTAGGGAAAAAAGGGGGAGCACATTAGCATTCCAAGTAAAAAGACGTACCAATAAAGTACCTCGTCCCCACATTCCACATCAAAGCGGAAGTGTGAGAAAGCCACAGGAAGGGAGCCATCTTCCAGAGCTATCAGGTACCAAGCACGGTCATCTGTCATCTCATCCCGTTTCTCCCGGTCCTTCCAGCCCCATTCACTCTGCTCATACCTTCAAGGGTAAGAAAACATAAAAAAGGAGAAAAAACTAAATTACAAACCCTTTCCTTCAGGAAGAGGTTAGCTGAGCAAAGGAAATTTCCATCATTGTAATTGGTTTAGAAACAAACCCTTCTCCCTCTCAACTATAAGCAGCATTTCTCAACAATATCATAAAAGGACCCAACTTTACAATTGTTAAGGGGGATGGAAAGGTATTCTAGATATGTTGTACTACACAGAACACACAAATTTGCAGTATATTCTGCTAGCCATCCGCACACTCCCCACCAAGAGTTGTCAAAAGCAGTTTGCTACTGCTAAGAGGAGAGTGATTTTGCAGCAACTTCAACTGTAGGCATACATATACACAGCACAGGAACCTGGCTTATGGAAAGACAAACCACTAATCCATCCAGCTTGATATCTGAACCTTGGTTTACAACATATCTGAACCAAGGTTACAACAACATCTGTTTTAGAACTCCAGTATGCTGATGACAATGTCGTCTGCGAGCATTCAGAAGAAGATCTACAAGCCACTCTAAATACCTTCGCAGAAGCATACAAGCTCAACCTGTCATTGAACATCGAGAAAACCAAAGTGCTGTTCCAGCAGACACCAGCCAACCCCTCTCCAATGCCAGAAATACAGCTTAATGGTGTAACAATCGAAAATGTTGACCATTTCCACTACCTTGGCAGCCACCTCTCCACCAAAGCCAACATCGACACCAAAATACAACACCGCCTGAGCTCTGCGAGTGCAGCATTTTTCCTAATGAAGCAGAGAGTGTTTGAGGACCGAGACATCCGTAGGGATACCAAGGTGTTTGTTTATAATGCTATTGTCCTCCCAACCCTGCTATACGCCTGCAAGACGTGGACTGTCTACAGATGTCAACATTGACACTGAAATACAACACCGCCTGAGCTCTGCGAGTGCAGCATTTTCCCGAATGAAGCAGAGAGTGTTTGAGGACCGGGACATATGTAGGGTTACAAAGGTGCTTGTTTATAAAGCTATTGTCCTCCCAACCCTGCTATATGCCTGCAAAATTATAAGTTGCTTACCTGTAACTGTAGTTTCCTGAGTAGTCACCTACGAATTTGCACACATGGTATTCC